GGTTTCCAAGGAGCAGCTGGTAAGCTTGAACCACCAACCTTGCAGTTCAAATGACTTTGCAGTCTGATGCATTAGCCCACAGCACCACACCAGGACTCCACTGAGGAGTAGTTAATGGGTTTAAATTCACAACCTTTCGGTTATCATCCCAGTGCTTAACCCACAGTGCCACTGTTGTTGTTGTTGTTAAGTGCCCATCAAGTCAGTTCCAACTCACAGTGACCCTGTATAGGTTGCCAAGGAATGACTGGTGGGTTTGAACCACCGACCTTGTGGTTACCAATCCAGTGCTGATCCAGAACTCCTACTGGAACACGGGGATGGACGGCACTAGTGCTTGTGAAATGATGGTTGTCTTAAAGTTGGATTTGCCTGGCAAACTGTTGCTACTATCAATAAAAGGAACAGAATTTTGTACAGATCGTTCCAGCTATACTTCACAACCCCTTATCTCTGGCCTTATTCTTCCCTGTGTTGACTGTGGGGTCACTTGATCTCCCATTCAGTCACCTCTTGGTTCCACTGCTGCCTCACATGGCTGACCACTGGTGAAGCCAGCACAGGGACTGCCCATCCTGTTCTCCGAGACATACAGCTTGGGTGGAAGCAGTGCCTACAAGGTACAGCTGTGATCCCTGTTATTACACTGAGCCAGCCTGCACGCACCCCCTGCCTGTGTGGTACTCTTCCATCCTCACACCCATGTGAGGCACCGACACTCAGCGGTGGGTGCTTTGAGGGTTTCATTTCTGTGTTTGGTGTGTGTGCAGAGTGGCGTGTATGTCCACATGTCTCTTTGTAAACCTGCACAGTCTCACTTCATGCTGGTTCCAGAGGCTGACCTCCCATGGGTCAGAGGGGACTTTGTCCATCTCCCTGTGAGCTGGGACTGGGACTCACGGGACTGATCCTAGCACCTGAGGGTGTTTGTGTAGAGTATAAGTACCTAAACACACGCTGCTGGGCTAGATATTGCAGCCACAGGTAAACCGGGCGCATCCTTCATGTCTAAGAGTTTCAACAATTTGCAGGGCAGGACTGAGGAGGGGGCCACTTCACCTCCTCCATGCCTGTCCCCAGAGGTGTTTGTTTGAATGAATTGTAAATTGTTGCTGCTGCCTTTTGGGAAGAGGCAGGTCTGCCTTTCCTCTGGCCGCTGGGCTTCATTTGATCCGCTGCCCAGAAAACAAATGGTGCCTCTGTGCGGTGCAGGTTGTTCTATCGGGGTAATCACATGCCTCCCGGGCTCCGTGTCAGCTCCGCAGGCCTTTCATGGCAATGAATGAGAGAAAGCTCCACTGTGTCACTTTCTCAACCTGAGCCCTCAAAGGGCCTCACAGCCACACAATCCCCTCTTGTGCCCCCACGGAGCGTAGCCCAGCGCCATGTAGCACAGTCTAGGGATGGTGGTGGAGCCTTCAATGCCTCGCCTACTTGTCCCATCTGTTTATCTCCCTGCTTCTCCAGGGCTTCCCACCAGACTCCGCGGCAGAAGGGGCTGTCTTTCTTCTCTCCCTGGGTCAAGTGTGTGACTGAGCTTTGTCAGAAAGATAGCAGCATTTCAGGAAACGTAGCTGTTCCTTAACCTTTTTAATAAACTCATCTACTCTGGTAATCTCCCTCCTCTCATCTTTTCAATTGTTCTAAGTTTAAAGCAAAAACAGGTAAACACTCTACTATTAGAGAAAAAGTTGGCCATTCAGACCCACCCAGAGATGTCTCAGAAGGCGGGTCTGGGGATCTGCTTCTGGAAGGTCACTACCTTGAAAACCCTATGGACCAGTTCTACTCTTCCCACAAGGGGTCACCATGGGTCAGAGTCAACTGGACAACAACTAACAACAGCATAGTTATTGTCAGGCTGCGTGAGTTTTGTAAATGGTTAAGTGATCAGCTGCTGACTGAAAGGTTGCAGGTTCAGGTCCATACAGAAGCACTTCAGAAGAAAGGTCCCCAAACCAGTCATTGAAAACGCGGTGGAACAGTCTTACATGGATGCACTTGGGGGTATCACTTTGGTCAGAATCCTTCTCTGAAGCTGAAGCAGTGCCTGACTTCTTTGTCCCAGGACCTAGGTACTGTCCATCTAAGGCCAGCAACATCTAGAGACCCTCTCCTAACTGCTTCCCAGCTTGTGCATCTGAATGTGAAGGTGTGAGCATGTGGTGTGTTTGGGAAGTTCAGAGGGCCAGAATCATGAAGGCATTACATGGCTAATATGCTGAGTGTCTTTATGGTGGGTATGGAGACTCCTGGTGTGGCCTTGTAGGATGGACACTCAACCGCAGGGTCAGTTTTGAACCCCAAGGTTGATGTTCAAACTCACCAACTGCTAGGAAGCCCAATGCAGGGTCGCTATGAGTTGAAACTGACTCAGTGACACTTAACAGCAACAACTGGGGACTCACCACAGGGTTTGGGGCTGGAGAGGACATGAGCTGCCTTGAGTTTTATAAAACATTGCCAGCACACAGAGGGTTACACTGAAGCTGGAGCTGACAGCTGACTGGGTGTGTGGCAGCAATAGTGGGTGTTTTGAAAAATGGGATCAAATCAACAGGACTTTTGTCACTGATAGGATGTGGGGAGGAGAGCTGGAGGTGGCGTTTCAAATGCTTCTCAGGTTAGGCCTTCTGGTATTTGGGACTAGGAAGAGGAACACTATCCTGGTGGGAAGTTTAATTTTAGACAGCTCGAGTTCATACTTGTGGGTCATCCAAGGGAAGAAGTCCAGTCCAGTTTTCCTTGGGTGACCCTATGAGATCCATGCAAGAGAGACAGATAGACACAGGCACACAGAGATCTGGGAGTCCTGAGCATCTTGTGATGGGACTTGGCGGGCTCTCCCAGAGAATTTGAAGAATGGGCAGGGATGGAGGAAGTGTTAGAGCTCCAGGGAGCACCTTCATATAATGTGTGGGCAGGGTAAGACTGAAATGAGAGAACAGGAAGTTGCATTTTAAACTGTTCGTCTCTGTGTATATCTTTGGCGCTCATAAGACCTACAACGTTGACAAGATCATAAGTCCCAGCATGCCTACATTGGACACGGGTAAAGTTCTTATGAAATTAACATGCTGCTAGTGCTTGTAATTCTGATACAAAAGGTTAAACTCTTTTTAAGAATGCAATGATTATAAGGAGGAGATACGATTCAATGAAGGTGTTGATTGATTAGTTACTTATCTGAAAGCAGGTAGGTAACATCTTCTCTTCCAGTAGGCCTATGAGTGGTTGTGTGTGTGTGTGTGTGTGACTAGAGGAAACTGAGCCTGAGGCACCTGCGGACAAGTTGCCACTTCCCTGGTGGTACCTCTTAATTTTCTTTCCCTTTTTCTATGGAAGTTACTTTTAAATTGATGCTTCATATACTTATTCAGTAAATGTGAGAGTTTACCAGTTATCTTTCAGTCAGAGAGGAAAAACAACTCAGAAGTGTATGTGGTTGTTGTTAAGTGTTGTCAAGTTGGTTCCAACTCATAGCGACCATGCGTAGGGTTTCTGAGAGGTGATTGATGAGTTTGAACCACAGTTAACAGTCCAGTGCTTATCCAACAGTACTATATATGTTGTTGTTAAGTGCCGTCGAGTTGTTTCTGACCCATAGTGACCCTGTATAGGGTTTCCAAGGAGCATGTGGTGAGCTTGAACCACCGACCTTGCAGTTCAAACGACTTGCAGTCCAGCACGTTAACCCATAGCGCCTATATATGAGGGAGCATCAACAAATTTGTGGGAAAACTGAATGAAAAGTTAATGGAATTTTTTCAAGAACTTTTTGAAGCCTCCTCATATTAGGGTATCAATTTACTGTGGAACATGAAGAGCTTGTCTACTAACCCAAAAGTTGGATGTTCAAGTCCACCCTGCGATACTCAGAAGAAAGACCTCGTGATGTAACTTCTGAAACATCAGCCTTTGGAAAACTTTATGGGGTGCAGTTCTTCTGTTAACACACATGGGGTGGGGTCACCATGAGCTGAAATCAACTCAAAGGCAGCAGGTTTTCCCGTGGTAGATTCGTGGGACATTTTTGCTGTGCTACTCAATGGTGAGGCTAATAGGTTCTGCCAAGCACTGTTTTCCTTAAACAGTTAGTATATCTCTGTGGGAATAATCAAGAATGGAGTTTCTCAAAGTAAACCAAAAAAAGCAGAACTTTGGGTTAAATCCTTGGTTAAGCAAGCATGTCGATTAAGACCCATTTACTTTTGGATCGTATTCGTCCATGAAGGATAAACCCATGTCTTGCTGTAGAAGCTGCTGAGGTGTTTAATGCTCCATGATTCCCCATGGGAGTGGATCTCTTTAGAGCCATTAGAGGTGTGGAAGCAGGTGTTTGAGGCACACATGGAGAGACTACAGAAATGTCAAGTTTGGTTAGGAATTTGTCAGTCATTTCTTACAGTTGGTGAGTAGAATGCTAGGGACCTATAGTTACTAAGAGTGGAAAGAACTGGTGCTAGAGATTGGGGACGCGGAGGGGCAGGAGTTAACACAAACTAGGCCAGAGAAATCCTCTACTAGGGGAGAAGGCTGGAGACCAGGCATCTGGGGACTGTCTGTAAACTTGTTAGGGTGGCAACCTGCACCTCCAAATTTCAATCTCATATAGTGGGTATCATTTACTGTTACTGAAACAAACCCACAACATTTTGTGTCTAAATTTTCCCTTTTCTCTGTCTCTTGTGAATTATTTTGTCTTGTCAGTGGATGCTAGATCTAAAGAGGCCTACATTATACTAAGGTCAAGTTCACTTAAGATTGCCATGTTGCCAGTTCTTGTAATTCTGATACAAAAGGTCAGGGGTTAAACATTTTTTATGAGAATGCAATGATTATAAGCTGGAGATATGATTCAATTAAGGTACTGATGCCTTCCAACGATGAATTCTTCCCATCTGACTACCCAAGATAATTGAGCAAAGACTACCAGTAAAACACCCCGAGTCCCCAGGACTATGTGCTTGACTTGCTCCTTTCCTCTCTCCTTCCGGAAGGTAAACCCACCCTATCACATCCCGTTGGTCGAGCTGGTTCCGCACCCAGAGACAGACCCTTCGACCATGGACAGAACACACGCCTTGATGAAGAAGATCGGGCAATCTCCCGTCAGAATTTTGAAGGAAGTTGATGGCTTTGCTTTGAACCGCCTCCAGTACGCGGTCATCAGTGAGGCCTGGAGGCTCGTGGAGGTATGTGAACTCCTCTTCTTCCTATCTGGCAACCCAAATAAAAGAAAACAAAGGGTTTCAAAAAGTTTGTGGAAAAAATATAGTGGCATTTTTATCCATGAACTTTCTGAAGCCCCCTCCTAGAACAAGTCAGATATGATACTCCATATTTCTTGTTCTAGTCAGGAAACTATCGATAAACTTTATACTCAGGTTCAGTCAAGAAGAGAAGATAAAATGCGACCTAGCAATTCATTTTCTGTTTCAAAAATTCCATTCACAGAAAGTTGTTTGATCTTAGCACATGATGATAGACTTCTCTTTTTTTCTTGCCTTTTGTGTCATTACCACATAATTATCTATGTGTGATTCATGGCATTTCCCCACAGCCTCAGATTCACCCTCTCCCCACTTGCAGTACTGTGTAACTTTTCAGGAGAAAAAGAATGTATTTTGAGTAAAGTAACTGTGTATCCCCTGAAGGAACCCACCTTATTTTAAGCTCTCAGGGAAGAAACAATACATAAAATTAATAAACATTAAACTTGTCAGTAATATGCCCATCATGCATCTGAGCAGGAAATGTGTATAGACAGTCCCCAGCTTAAGAGGATGTTCCATTCCAGGGTGTCCCTTATGAATCAGTTCTAATAGTAATCGAATACCTCATTTCTTGTTTTCATTATCATTGCTTTGTATTATCAGTGTGTTTCTAAATCTTGTATTTGTCTTTGGAGGTTGAGAATGAGAATGATAACATGAACAAATTACACACTGCAACATTGTATGTAGTAAATATTACTAACAATAAGACATACAAAAACCAAAACAATTGTATGTAGTACATATTACTAATGATGCTGTTATTGTTAAGTGCCAGCAAGTCAGTTCCAATGCATAGCAGCCCTGTATAGGGTTGCCAAGGATCAGCTGGTAGGTTTGAACCACTGACCTTGCAGTTCAAACTGACCTTGCAGTCCAGTGCATTAACCTACAGTACCACACCAGGACTCCCATTACTAAAAATGAATTAAGATGTACAACAAAACAAAACAAAAACAAGTGTATATAGAACATATTACTAGCAGTTGTTGTTGTTGTTGTTAGGTGCCATCGAGTCGGTATCGACCCATAGCGACCTATGCACAATAGAACAAAACACTGCCTGATCCTGGGCCAACCGCACTACTATTGCCACGCTTGAGTCCATCGATGCTGCCACTTGGCCAATCCATCTCGCTGGGGTTCTTCCTCTTTTTCTCTGACCCTCTGACCCTCCATTACCAAACATGGTACCCTTCTCCAGGATTTATTCCCTTCTGACAATATGTCCAAAGTATGAGAGACGAAATTTGGCCATCCTGGCCTCTAAGGAGCACTCTGGCTGCACTTCTTCCAGCATAGATCTGTTGGTTCTTTTGGCAGCCCATGGCACTTTCAATATTCTCCTCCAACACCATAACTCAAAGGCATCAATTCTTCTAAGGTCTTCCTTAGTCACTGTCCAGCTTTCGCATGCATATGAGGTTATTGAAAACACATGGCTTGGGTCAGGTGCACCTTAGTCCTCAAGCTGACATCTTTGCTCTTCAGCACTTTAAAAAGGTCTTGTGCAGCAGATTTGCCTAATGCAATATGTCGTTTGATTTCTTGACTGCAGCTTCCATGAGTGTTGATAGTTGATCCAAGAAGAATGAAGTCCTTGACAACTTCAATCTTTTCTCCATTGATAAGAATGTTGTTTTTTGGTCCAGTGGTGAGGATTTTTGTTTTCTTTACATTGAGATGCAATCCATACCGAAGGCTGTGCTCTTTAATCTTCATAAATAAATGTTTTAAATCTTCTTCACTTTCAGCCTGTAAGATTGTATCGTCTGCATATCGCAGGTTGTTAATGAGTCTTCCTCCAATCCTAATGCCACGTTTTTCTTCATAGAACCCAGCTTCTTGGATTATTTACTCAGCATACAGGTTGAATAAGTATGGCGAAAGAATACTAGCAATAAGATGTATAAAAACCAAAAAACCATAGTTGTAATTGTAGTTTGTCGTAACTAGAGTACACTGTAAGTCAAGACTATCTGAGTATGCACATATTTGCGCTCATTCTTTGCTTAGAGAGTTTTACATGTAAGTCAGGAAATTGCTTAGCTCTGCCCAGCATGTCTCTGTTTGTACAAGGAGGATGGTGCCTGGGGGTTGGCTAGACAGTCAAGGAATGGGGTCAGAAGAGCTGGGCTTGTGTTCACTGGTTCTCTGGCTCCCCAGCTTCTGTCTGGGGAAAGCAGCCCCTCTGCTGCCCACCCCATTCTGCAGAGACGTGGTGGTGGGAGTGAGTGCAGTTCCCCACATACAGGAGGGAGGAGAAGGGTGCTTGTGTTTGCATTATCGGTTCCTGGAATTGCTCCATCATTCCTTGCCTTGACTCACATGGATACATACCAATCCTGTCCGTAAGACAAGAACCAGAAAGTCAGCCTAGGTATAGCTTCCTTGAGGATTGTATTTTTGTTTCCCAGCTGTCCCTGAGCAACTGGGCAGATGTACATGGTTTACGTGAGCCTCTTATTTCCTGGTTCTGGTGTTTGGCTCCATCCTTATTAGGTTCATCTTCTGACCTGACTGCCATGTGCATTTGCTACCCATCAGCCTCAGTTGCAGATCCCCACTATGACCTCAGACTTCAATCTGCTTAATGCTGCTGTGGAGTCCTGGTGTGGCGCTGTGGGTTAATATACTGGACTGCAAGGTCGGTTTGAACCACAGGGTTGGTGGTTCAAGCTCACTAGCTGCTCTTCAGAAACCCTATAGAGGGTTGCTATGAGTCAGAACCGACTCGACAGCATTCAACAACAAATGCTGTTGTATCTTCAAGTACAGTGATGGGTTTTCCATTAAGTTTGTTACTTGGAGTTTTTAGAAATTGTAGAGTATTTTTACATATCTGTTAGTGATCAGGTATTTAGATAGGAAACAATGAATTAAAAGGACCCCTCGGGATTGCAATCAATGAGGTGACACAAAATATATATGACTCAACGTCACCCAGCAACAACAACAACAGATAATAAGGTGCTTCTGGTTGAGGGTGAGAGGTAAGATGGGAATCCATGTATTTTGCCTGGGACAGGGGGTGGGTGGTAGAGAGGAAGCAAGAAGAGGGTCTGGGACTCCATTGCTGCACCCACTTTTACCATCACTGCACAGAGACAACTGGGGCCTCCAGAACCTGGAGCAGACACTGTCAGACCACCTCCTCCTGGCCCCAGCGACATCACCAGGCTGGAACTGCGCATTCTCATAAAAGTGGCTACTCTCCAGTTGGCTTCCGAGTCTGCTGCCAAACCATCCTGTCCTGTCCGGCCCTGGGACTCAGTAGCTGACCTGGACTTTGTCTCAAGTTTGCTCGAAGAGGGCTCTTTCTGCACACGGACTCTGTGAGCCATTGAATCCTACCATGTAGCGTGACAACAGCGAGCTTGGCACAGCACTACAAGGTGAACACGAAGAGCACATTTTCTCTGGCCTCAGGGACCATATTTCTGCCCGGAAGACCATTTTCCCATCAGGTATGGCTTGTCAGGGAAGGTTAGATCCCCTCCACCTGTGCATCTGATGGAAACCTGCCTTCATGAGGACACCCCAGGCCATGACGGGGTTCAGTGATACCCTCTGGACTTAAGAATGATGACCTGGAATCTAGATTTTGAGGAATTCCCAATTTACCTTAAAATTCTGAAAAGCAATTTTAATACCCAAAGGAGCTGAGTTGGAGGAAGTTTTACAGTAAAAACTAAGGTTTTTGACAAACTCTTAAGTTCAGAGGGTCCCAAGATCTCACAATGTTCTGTTTCCAAGTGGCATGTCTTACCTGTGGTCAGAAGTCCCTAAACCTTTAGTCTTAAGGACAGTAAGAGTTTCCAAGTCTTTCTTTGGTGCAGCTGATCTTAGGTGCAACCCCACTCAGGGACTCACAATGATTGTTCCTGTTTCCTTACTTTCCAAATTCACAAAGTTAAGTTGAAGTTTGGCATACCCTTTGACCCAAGTTTGGGGTTGGTGTGATCTCAGGATTGGAAAGGCAGAGGGCCCAACTGGGGATGCTGAGGAACTCTTTGTGGAGACGGGCCCATAAGGCCCCTCTGCTGGGTTCTCAGGGTGCTGGACACAAGCCCCAAGTCAGGACGTGAGATGGAGTGGGGCCAGCAGATGAAGTGGCCAGAGTCACAGCTTGCCGATCTACCCCATCCACAGCCAGGCCTTGAGACTGGGCTGATAAGAGTAAGGGAGCCTTGCCGCTCACTAACTCTGCCAAGTCCTGTCACCTTAGGAATTGCCCAGTTTTCGAACGCTGAACCTGCATTGATCCATGAAAGAAACGCCACTGGGTAGTGGTGCCTATAATTATTTTTATACACTGTCACATTCCACTTGCTGATATTTTGTTGAGAATTTTTACAACTAATTTATGAGATTTTTAAGAATACTCTCATTGGCTGATTTTGGAATTCAGGTAATATTGACCTCATAAAATGAGTTGGGAAGTTTTCCTTCCCTTTTCTATTTTCTGGAAACAATCATGTAAAATTTTAGGCTAATTCTTTAATCTATTGATGGAATTCTCCATTGCTACCATCTGGGCCTGGAGAGTTCTTCTGGTGAAATTGAACTTAAAAATTCAATTTCTGTGATGGTTTTGGGACTATCCAAGTTATCTGTTTCATCATGGTTGAGTTTGGGTGGCCTGTGGTTTTCTAGAGATCAGTACCTTTCTCTGAGTTGTAAACGTGTGCACACACAGTGGCTCACTGCGGTCTCCTGTGAACCTTCTAATGACTGCAGGACCTGTAATAACACTTCCCATTTCATTCCTACAACTGGTCATGTGCATGTGCTCTGTGTTTGCCAATCTTGCTGGGGGGTTATAATTTTTTTGTCTTCCTCCAAGAAGCAGCTTTTTATTTCATTGATTTTACTTGCTGACCCTGGAGGGGATATTTTAGTCCTTGGAGGTAAGCATC